AAATCGCTGTCGTTTGTCTTTACTGCAGACTAAAATGATGACGTAATCGTCATCTTTCATGATTTCGACTATACTCAGCTCGTATGCTACGCGGACGATTACACAGCGTCAGCCGCGCCAAAATAATACTATATTGATCGAACTCAAGTTAGGTCATTCTAATGAGTCCAGCTCTGTCTCCATTGTATATCGTACATCATTATACGACTTCCGGTCAGCCTGATGGAACAGCGAGATCGGAGCGATCCATTAATTTTGATGGACGTCCCTGAAATCCCCTGATGCTTTGTATTAAAATTTGAAGAGACGTCTACGTCAAGTGAAGGTACTATTAGAAAAAAATCCGTTTAACCAGAATCAAATACGATTTATGGAGATATATGATGATTTTGGACACTATTACTACATTTTCAACAATCTTCATTCCATCGAAATATCACAGTTGATACAAAAGAATATATACTGCATTTTCACTATTTTCTATGAATGTCAACGAGCTAAATTTGCCATCTAAGTTAAAACTAATTAATTATTCAATTTTGAACCAAAGCTAAAAGCATTTGTAGCGAGACCTAATAGTCTTTCATACCCTGCCAATGGAATTTGGCGCATCTTTTTCCAAACGTTTCAAGTGATTCCAACACAAATATCGGTTAGTGGACATTTATTTATAGATGAGGTTTCACTTCTCACACTAGTTAGCGAGGAGATATTGTAAAATAAAAAATTACTCGAAAATGGGATCTTATGCTTTTGGATGTTGCATAACATGCACATCACGAAAAACCATTTCCATCGGTCTGTCAGTCTGTCTGTCGATTTGTCCGTTGATCCTTGACCCCTCTATCACTTAGAAAATACCGCACAGATTTTGAGAAAATTTTGGCACAAGTTTACTACTATATCAAGGACGAAAAGGTCTGAAAATCGTTCTAGAAATAAAACAATTAAGATGGTTTGTATTTCGTTTTTCGACGATCCAGAGAAAAGTTTTTTAGAATGGTTTTTGAGAGACAACAAATTGGTAGTGGGGGGATGTCTCAATTTTTTGGCGTTAGTGTGATTATACGCTTCTAAAACCGGTAATTATACGTACCGTCTAGACATATTTAATACATAGATTTCCCCGTATATTTGCCCTTAAGACTTAGTAGAATGATGGAAATATTTTGATACTTCGAGCGCAACGTTGGCATTGCTTGTTGAGTAGGCAGCGACTGATTGTATGGACCTGCTTGACTGACTTGATGTTTTTAATGCATGCGCGTGTATGCATGTTCGTTGTTAACCTTTTTTTCCGAAAGCTAACTTGTGCCGATATGATATTTTGTGCATGGATGAACGCGTTGCATAGGAAGCACCGAGTCAACCTATTTGATTTGACGTCATTGTGTTAGAATTATAACACTCATTGTACTTGTAATATAGCATGATTAAAAAAACAGTGGCATTATTTCTAGGGTAACAAGTAGGTTCGAAAATCGCCTCTAAATTCCTCACAAACACCTCCTTGCCTACGTACCGGCTGTTGAAGTTATAGTTACAAAATTGAGAAAAAATTGTCCTAACCAATGGTGTAGAAACTGGGATATTCCTACAAAAAAAAAAAAAAACAGAAAGAAACATATTTTCTACGCCAGTGACTTGGAAAACTATTGCGTTACTTCCAGAGCTGTCTTCGGGTATCTAAGGGCCCGTGGGCACTTTTCCCTTAAAAACGGAGTAGATGATTGAATATGATATTTAGCTTTCTACCAATTACGTCTCCCTTTTGAAGGGGAACTGTTAGTTATATTTGTGGGAATATCCATACGAAAACTTTGAACCGTCATACTGTGTAGGTGTTAATATTGAAATTCAAAATTTGATAAAAAAAGCTATGCCTTTTTTGTAACTTAGCTTTACTTATAGAAATTATATGGCTTATTACGTTTTCCCCGAAGGTAGTAATTTCACAGTTATAAACACGTAGCTGAGAATACCTCTTATACAAGTTAATTTGAAGTTGATATCCGATACCTGGATTGTGTATAATCCGTGTCAACCATAATAGGTATTAAGGTATTAATGGACAATGTTTACAAAAATTGTAATCTTTTCATGGAAAATTAGATAATATTACTCAGAAGTGATTTAAAACAAATTGTTACAAGTGTTCGTGTATGTAAACACAGTTTTATTATCCTTTCCGTTTTCAATCATTCATCTTACCGATTAAATATTTGTAAGCAAGTCCATGCTGTGCCACACTGTGACAAAATCCATCAACTATGATGTCTTGCTCCATAGCTGTCGATGGTCCACTAAAGTTCTTAGCACATTCATGTGGTTTTGGTGGAATATCCTTTTTGTCGTAAAACAAGCACATTGAGCACACTTTGTTCCTTACACCCAAGAAAAGAGGTTTCTTTGTCTCAGCACCAATAATAACAGCCTAAAATATTTATCATTAGTATACGTATAAGGTATGTGATCAGGAGGGCTTTAACGTACTACACCAGAAGAGGCATTATATCCATGCCCGTAGGTCCTTTTACTCCATCCTCCGTCAGCGATAACGGTGATGTATGGGGTACCATCAGGCATGAGATTGCCTTTTTCAATTGCAACCCGTTTCTCTTCAATGCCAGCAGCTTTCATGTCATCGTTCAGAATTTCTTCCCATACCTTGAATCAGGAAAAGCATGTTTGAAATAAATTTTTACAAATACAAATTAGGACGCCATGTTGTCTGGCCAAACGCAATCACTTCATCTATTAGGTACCTAGTAGAATCACTATCATAGTGGTCAACACTTAGCTATTAAACTGAGTCATATATAGGGTGAGTTTTGTATAATGAACTGTTTTAGTTATCATGCCTAATAATAACACAAATCTAGCCGCACATTTGTAGCTAAACAACTAAATTAGAGAAAAACTTTCAAAGTAGTGGGGCGCTAATTTTTATATTCAATAATTCCGATAGATTTGACTTACCTTCTTGACAGTTGACGTTTTCTTCCTGAAAATTCGGGAAGTCATAGCTGGTACATTTAAAACACCCATTAACTCTTCGTATTGGCTGTGACCAATTCCTGTCGAAATACTCCCCCAAACTGCAGCTGTATTAACGGATTTCTTCGTAGTACAGGGTGGCTCAGATTCAATGACCATTCTTTTTTCGCAGTTGTCGCAAAAAAAGTGTAGCTTGACGAGATGTCCTATCCTTTTTTCCTCCACAAAATCCATTCTGCCCATTGTACAGGCTTTAGAGTGATTTAACACTTTTCCATACTCGAATAGTATATGGCCTAAGTTCACTATTCTCCTGCCTTCTAGTTCCTCAGAAATATTTCGGAAGTTTTCATCACCCGTATCTTCGAAATAATCCTCGTATTCGCTATCACATGATGGGTTAGTATCTTCATCCTTATTGTTGGCAGTAGAAGCAGGAGGAGGATAGCTGATGATTGTGGATGATGTAGATTCCTGGTCATTTTCATTTCTGCTCTGTTGCAGTAATCTGTAATAAGTCTATTGATATAGGGTAATTCCGAAAAATGTGGCAATATTTGAAAGTACAAACTACATGGAAAAATAAAACCTAGATAAAAGAATCCAGAAACGTGTCACTACAAGGTATATATTTTACGCCATTGATGAAGCTAAATAAGAAAAAAACATCATCGTTCAAATAAAGCTATGGTAAGTTAGAATTACTCTACAAACACGCTACATCCAGTTTGGTGTGAGTCGTAAATAAATACTTCAATGAGATGTATAGGATGGTCTCATGACAGTCCACATTCAAAATTAACCGCAAGTAACTTAGGTTCATAATTAATTCAGACATATGCGTAAACCATGTATTTCGGTTCGAAATGCATAAAATTTCCTTTTACTCTGCGAAAAGCGTGTGGACTCTTCCTTATTGCTGTTGCTGCTGCTCTGACGCAAATCTTGAAAATACGAAATCGTTCGTAAATAAACAACAAACATTTAATTACTGCTTTCTTTTAACACCGGCAACTCAAATATACTATTCACCTTCCTTTTTGATCCGTCTTTATCTCCAGATTTTGGGAATTTCCAGGTACTAATCCTATAATAATTAGCAACAATGAGGAGTGAAAAAAAAGGAAAATTGCATGAAATATTACATACAGATAATGAAAAGAAGACCAAAATTTAATTTTTATTGTTCGTGTACTAGCCTCTTCAAGATTTGCACCAGAATATAAGAGCAGAAGCAACAGCAATAAGACAAAATCCACAGGCTTTCCGCAGACTGAAAAGACTAGTTACGTAGACGTCGTTTGTGCATTTCGAACCATGACAGATGTTTTGAGCATATACTCACGACTTGAAATCAATTTCGTAATTCCTCAAAATGTATTTCAATTCTTTCTAAACAGTTGCGCCTGAAGTTCCTGTTTAACAGTTTAGCTGCTCATATATCTCTCTGCTTTTGAAGTTCAGTTCAGTCACGTTGGTTTTTGGCATAGTATATTGCTAAACTAAAGTACTTTTTAACGTGAAAGCAAAACTCTGCTTCTGGAATTTCCACGGATGCTATTTTTGAAAAAATAGCATAAACAATAATAAAATCTAGAATGCCATGTATGTGTGGTTGCTACATTACTACTTAATATACCTGCCAAATTTAATTTGTTCCGAGTATATAGTTTTCATACAAATCGAATTTGTCAAACCCGAGTCAAGTCATTCGAACAAATGGAAAAAAATTGATTTTAGAGAAATTATTGCTTGCCACACTGTATATTCTATAAAGCAATACCTACCTTGCCTTTAGAGCATTCTTTCGACGTAGACATCTCTTTACTCCTCCTGTATGTCTCCTTGATAGCGGAGCACGGGCTTTAGGCATTTTAACAAAAACTAACTGAGAGAATAACGTTAGAACAAAACACCAATTAGCACCAAATACACTTAAAACAATGAAAATAATCACAGCTGCAACACTTATGTACTCAAAGAATAAATCACACGCGTAGCAACACAGTAACTAGTCAGCATGGCGAACGACGCACCTGTCTTAAATAGGGCCAATAATCTTCCGCCGAGGGCGTGGTCAGCGGGAGGCGTGGTTTTGCCAAAATATTTGTCAAATTACATCTACAACTCAAAAACCGTTTGAGCAAATGAGTTAATTTTTTCTTTGATGGCTTGTTCTTTCAGTTCTTTATATCTTTTATCCACATACTTTCAAAAAATCGTTTTCCTTCAAAAGAAAAATAAAATTTTTATGCGAAAAATAAATTATATGTGGAAAATGAGCGATAAAGGACGTTCCTTTATTGATTCATAATGCAATCACTTAATTTCATGTCTTTACGATTATTTGTTTCGAAGCTGGGACTGTAAAAAAATTGGCAAAAAAAAGTTGTCATTTTGACAAAAAAATATGAGATTATCATAAATCAGTCATTTTTATACACACACTGAAATAATCAGACAATAAGTGCTCATAATACTACTCCAAACGCACAGTTGAAAAAAAGGGACGTGCGACCTTAATACTGTATATTTATAGCGCCCAATATTTGGAAGATTGTGCCGTAACATTATTTGAAGAGTATTTATGTTTTATCCCAAAGCAGTGTCATAGAGGGGACATTTTAGGACCGATCTTTATATAGGAGCTACATTGAGATGTACTTTATGCTTTAAATATATTGCAACACCATAGGTTAGGTAGGTTTTCAGTTAGTTGTCAGGTAGTGGGTTAGATATTTTGTGTTAGTTACTGTTGTCTAGAAAGTTCATATGTTATTAGGGTATATAAAGGATTTGGAGGAGTTGAAAGCTGAGGCTAAGTAAGTTTCGAGAAAATAAAAAGTGAAACGTCAAAAAGTATCCCATTCCAAGTGTGAGAAAGAGAGGCCATTCTTGACAATGTTGTTACTGTTTGTCGAATCATTCTGTATATCTACAGCTAATTAAAGTTGAACCGCTCTCGTACCCCTCGATTCTCTTTCTTTCTATAAACACGCTTAGCCTTGTTGGCTACCCTCAAGCCCTCAAGAAGTTTTTAAATGCAGATCAGGTGGGCGAACATTAGAAAACAAACAAAACAGAAGAAATTTCGCAGGAAATTAAGCAGCCTTGGCAGTAAGTCAAATAAAATGGCAGTCACGTTTCCTCGAGCTCTGATTTTCGTTTGCAAAAGGTTCTCATAATTTTATTTAGAATTACATCTCGTGTGGCTTGTCACAGAAACCAATTAATTAATAAGCAGAATTTTTTGCAAACCGGATAAGCCACAAATAAAAAAACCTAAGGTTAGTTAGAGGCCCCCTCCCCAGATCACTGGAAAAAGAAGAATACGCAGAAAGTTCTACGTATTTCTTACATTTATGCCTTTTCGAAATGCTATCCTAAGAACTGGTTAATGTTAACTGGCGCAAAAACGTTAAGCAAAACCAACGAAAATGTGATATTCGAATTTAGTACGTTTGGAGTCAAGTTCGTCAGCCAGGAGCGATTTTGCCTATGGTACACCTTCGAAAATTTTGTTTTTGCATAACTTCATGATTCATTTATAAAAAATGAAAAAGCGGCCCGATTTTATTAATCCGGGGTATAAAAGTGCATGGTACAGAAATTGAACCAATTATAAGGCGTCTCTGAAGTAATGGATCTAATGGTAATGGGCTTGTAATTCCCACATAAATCAACAAATAGGCTCCATAAATCACTTGGTTTAGCTACAAGAACTTATTTTTTTATTGGCTTCCGAACACTAAATTAGGGGCCATGATCATATAATGCACCACTGAAAAATAAGAAGCTGCATCATACTCCAAGCGTGGATACAAATTTGATACAATATCTAGATTGATGTGACACCAATTAAATTTGCATTCCATTGAGAATAACTGTCTCACTGGTGTTGTCCAAAATTCTGCTTGTTAAATTCTTTGAGTACATAAATAAAATTACAGAATGCCTATTCTTTAACAAACATCAAGTAAATATCAGGTAACCAAATAAGTTCCTGCGGTTTTTAGTAGAAAAATATAAATTTTTATTGAGAAGCAATAAGACACTATTTATCCGTCTAAGTGATTACCATCACATTCAATGGCCTTTCGCCAACGTGGAACCAATTTTTGCAAGCCGGTATTGTAGAACTCCCTGGATTTGGAGTCAAACAATTGGCGGACTGAATTTATTTCACCATCTCGAGTTGTGAACTGTCGGTGCCTCATACAGTTGTCAACAGACAAAATAGTTGATAATCACTGGGCGAAATGTCCTGCAGGAACATCACTTTCTTCCGATTGATGAAAGAAAGCTGTTTCCGGATGAGTGCTGCTTGTACTCGTTGAAGCTGCTCACAATACAAGTTAGCAGTGATGGTTTGACCCCTTTCCAATAACTCATGGACAATTCCAGTTGCTGTCCACCAACAAAACCTTGTTTGGGTGCAAGGAAGCCTTGGGCGTGTGTGGTACCGAACCAGTAGGCGACAACCAATGATACGAATGCTTAGAATTCGAATACAAGATCCAGTCGCAGGTTAATAACCGATTAAGAAATGGTTCATTAGCGTTGCGTGAAATGTTTGCTGAACATATAGTAAGACAACTTAATTTGTTATCGTTTGTCAGTTCACGTGGGACCCATTTGCTTAACTTTCACGACTTTCCTAGGTAATGAAGATACAAACGAACAGTTTCAGGACTCACTCCGAACATTTCTGCAAGTTCAAGGAACGTTGTCCTGGAATTTGCATCCGCAACCTGTCGAAGATCCTCGTTGTTCATCATTTTTAGTCTCCCTGAGCGCGGTTCGTCACTCAAACTGAGATCTCCCGAAGAAAATGATTTGAACCACTTCTATGCTGTTCGATCACTAACATCTCCGAATGCGGTACATATTTTTGGCGCCGCCGCTGCTGCTTTTGTACCAAGTTTGTACTCATACAGTAAACAACTTCGAATTACTGTTCTATTCGTCGCCATTTTCAATTATTAAAACTAGGTATGTAACAATTTTCAGCAACTTTTTATGTGTGTGAGAAAAGAAGGATACATACTAAAGTGACAACAGGTAACGAACAATCGCTATCGATCAACAACATCCATGGCAATGGGCGATATACAGCAACTGCACGAACTTATTTGGTTACCTGATAGTCAATTTACTTACTTACTGTTAAGAAGAACATGCCGCGCCCTCTACTGGACGGTAGAACGACTACACGACCACGCTAACATCCGTATTCATGGCTTTCTCGTTGGTTCAACTTGTACCAGAGGCGCAAATTTTGATTCCCGGCGGTCAATAGTAAAGTCGGGCCTAAAGGTTCCATTCGAAATTATTTCGTCTACTATATCGTCTTGCAAATTGTGTCTACTGCTTCGTGTAGTCAGTCCAAACGATGCTGCGGTGCGTAGGGACTAAGAAAAATAATTTGGTTACTCCATTTCATATTAATATCTTGATGATGATGTGATTTTAAGTAAATTATGACGTTGACTTTTTGTTAATTGGCAATCATCGAATTGACTCGAGTATCGAAATTTGCTGTTTGTATTCGCATTTCTATCAAACTATCTACCACCGATAGATGATCACAAATCTGAGCATTTTATTTACTTGGTGACCTCCCTGAAATTTTCCTTTGGATCCGCCCAAGTTTGAGGTCATGCAGGAATTTGAATTATCAGCATATCTTAATTAGGGAAATAAGCAAGTTGGCTTTTTGCTATCAGTGCATTACTACCCTTAAAACATACTTTCCATAGAATCGGTTATGAGATTCATATCTCATCAAAATATGATAAAGACGTCCTTAGCTTACGAATTGGAGATAAGAAATGCTGATTAACTGAACGCCACTGTCCCTGTAGTTAACATATACAGGGTGTTTCAGTTTATTGTTGCATAACTACAAGATTCGATAGAACTTTTAAAATTAATGCATAAAGTCTATATAAACATGGGTCGAAAAATGCGTGGCTTCCGAAATACAGGGTGTTTAAATTTATTTTTTAAAATAGTTTTTTTTAAATATTTCGAACAATATTTGATCTATAAGAGTGAAAATGGGTCTGCAAGGGTTTTTTGGTAGGACAAAATGAACCACGGGTATAGTTTTACTGTAGCCGCTAGAGGGCGCTCTCTACTGTACCTGTAGTGTATTAAAATGACCGAAAATTTTTTCTTTATGCAATTTTTTGCTTTTTGAATAAACAAACCGATTCTTCGCACTTTTATGCATAAAAAAGCTCTCCTGTGAGTTTTCGTTATAGTTAGCCGTTTTTGAGATATTTCGATTTTTAAGGTTCGATGCATTTTAAATAAGTTATGGGAAAATAATATTTTTTTTACATTTTCGATTTGGGCATTACAAGTAATCAAGATGATCGTTTAGATTGTGTTTTTAAACAAAGCAATAATTCCTAACTCCAAATAAACACAAAAAAACAGAATATTAATTTGTTTAATTTTCCAATATTATTTTTAACAAATTAAATTAATTATTTACAACTAAAATGCTATTGGATAGTTAGGACAAACATACAATATCTAAAGTAGTTGCTCGAAATGTAAACCCAATTGTTCAATACACAATTCACATCTACGAATGATCGAACGTGGTATAGCATTATTCAAATAAGGCCTTATTTCATCACATGCATTCCTGATTCTGTCTATTAGCATATCTCTTATGGTTACGGGAGTCTGGTACACTTTTTCTTTTAGAAATCCCACACAAAGAAATCTAATGGATTTAGGTCAGGGGATCGTGGAGGCCAGGCGACTGGTCCCCCACGGCCGATCCATCTTTCTGGATAATTTTCGTCCTGCCAGTTTCTAACTATTCTTGAATAATGAGCTGGACAACCATCAAGCTGGAACCACGCCAATCTTCTTAAATCTAACATAACATCATCCCACATATTTGCATGTTCAGCCTTTAAAAATTCCAAGAAGGTCGCAGCATTTAACCTTGCAGGCAAAAGGTAGGGTCCAAATAGTCGATTACGGTAGATGCCAATCCACACGTTCACACTAAATTCATGCTGAAAATTTCTTTCCCGAACTGCATGCGGATTTTCATGCGACCAAATATGTTGATTATGAAAATTTACCACTCCACGTCTAGTGAAGAATGACTTATCGGTCCATAAAACGTTACTTAAAAACTCCCTATTATTATCAGTTCTGTCAAGAATCCACTAACAAAATATGATTCTTCGTTCTTCGTCCCCTGGCTGTAGTCTTTGCACAGGTTGCAAATGGTAAGGACGTCTATGGTCATTTCTAAGAACACGGTGAACATGGCTTGCTGAAATTCCCAAGGCACCAGAAACTCTCCTAACACTTGTAGTCGGATCTCTATCAAACTCACGCAGAATCATACGGGTAAATCTGCGCTGACGAACATTTATGTTTTGATCTCTTTGGAGATTTCCAAAACCATTTTCAATTATTTGGCGATGTACTCTTACAAATACTGAGCGAGTTGGATGTCGTCTGTTTGGAAATCTTCGTGCGTATTCTCTGGCTGCTTCTGTTGCGTTTCCATTTACAAAGCCATACACAAAATGAATATCCGCTAACTCTTGATTGGTGAAAAAAAATGGCATTTTTATAAAACTTACAAAAGAAACAGGTAAAAGAAACAAAGTTTCCTGCATTCACAATTGCAAAAAAACGTTTCAG